GAGACCACTGTGGTGGGTGTGAGCTAGCATTGCAGTTAACAGAGGAGCAGGTTGTTGCCTGCAGGGGTTGGCAAAATGATTTCTATTATCTTTTTTTAATATTTATTTATTTATTATGTATACAATATTCTGTCTGTATGCCTGAAGGCCAGAAGAAGGTGCCAGACCTCCTTACAGATGGTTGTGAGCCACCATGTGGTTGCTGGGAATTGAACTCAGGACCTTTGGAAGAGCAGGCAATGCTCTTAACCACTGAGCCATCTCTCCAGCCCCTCTATTATCATTTTTTTATTTCCTTTTGGGGGAAGAGGTTACCAGGGTGGAAGGCAGACATGGAAGGATTTGGAAATGATTGGGATGGGGTATATGATGTGGACTTCCCAAAGAATCAATTAAAAAAATAAGTTAATAAAAATGCAAAAACGAAACAAGGGCCAGGGTGATGGCTCCTGGTGGTACAAGTGCTAACTGCACAAGTCTGGGGACCTGAGCTGGATCCTCAGAATTCACATAAAAAGCCAGATGCTGTGACATGCCTCTGTTATCTCAGCACTCTTACAGTGAGAAGGGAGGTGGAGGCAGGAGACTGTCTGAAAGTGAGCAGCCAGTTGTGTATGCACAGCTTAGCAGCCAAAGCATGAGACCTTCAGAAGGTGGAAAGCAAGCGCCATCCCCTGAACACTGCCCACTGACCTCCCACTCATACACCATAGCACAGGCATACCACCTACCCCCAACAACACATAAACACATTTTCACAAAATCACGTGAAATTTGACTAAACCAAATTCAATCAGTGATTTTCCCTTTTTCTTTTATAAAGAATATATTTATACTTCAACAATTTCATGTATGATACAACAGCTACCTTGCTCATATCCACTCCCAGTTCCTCCTCCTTTTCTCCCAGATCCACCCCCAACACAGCCTCTTCCTGTTTCCAAGTCCTCTTTTTTTTTTTTTTAATGCAACCCACTGAGTCCAACTAGATCAGCCCACATGGCATAGATACGGGGCCATCTACCAGACCAGTCAGGCACGGGGCCTCATGAGCCTCTCCCCATCAGGTCTGGAATGTTGACTGGCTCAGTCTTGTGCAAGTGAGTTCATGAGTACAATGGCGCTATTGTGTCCAGAAGAGGGCTTTTCACAGTGCTCTCCCATCTTCTGGCTCTTCCATGGGCACAGTGGCCATGTCATGTCCAGAGGACAGCATTTCACAGTACTCTCCAATCTTCTGCTCTTACATTCTTCCTGCCCTCTCTTCCTCGACATTCCCTGAGCCTTGGGATAATTATTATAAATATCCTATTAGGACTGATCATTCCCAGCCCCTTCTCAGAGCTCAGACCTGTTAGTTACGAGCCTGTATTAACCATTGCTCACTGCAAAAAGAAGCTGCACTGGCCAAGGTTGAGAGCTGCATGTTTATGGGTACAAATATAGCTAGAAGGCAGTTTGGTAGCATGCCCATTTAACAAAACCACACTACTAGGTACCCTTCTAGAGCCTGTGGCCTCCCCAACCACGCATGGGTTTTTGACCAGGTTTGCGATACCAGGTATTACTGGAATTCCCTCCTGTGGACTAAGCCTGAGATCCTTCAGAAAATAGTTGGCTACCCCATAGCATCCACGAAACTATTCCATGTACACCTTGTCTGTCAGGCTGAGACCGCAGCATGCAGGGTCTACCACTGAGTAAGACTATGGATGACTTTTCTCCCCTAACAGTCCACACTGTGGCTTCCAGCACTGTAAAACAAGCCAGCAGGAAGTAAGTTCGCAGGTCAGTGACAGTTGATTTCTCTATGTCCTGAAGTTGCAGTGGGATGTGTCTTCTTTAATAGGGTCTTATCATCTAGTTATGTGAGCAAACCAGGAGCAATAGAATACCAATAGCCTGTGTTACTGAGGAGGCCTTGAGGCTTCCCTGATCAATAACTCATAGACGAGTATCTCATGCCCAGCACCAAGGCTCTCTTTAATAGAGCATGCCCACTGTCCACTACACAGTTTTAAATGATTTGCTTATCTTAGGTGTGTTAAAGTTTTGCCTTCAGGTACATATGTGTGCCACAAGCATGTCTGGTTCCTGCCGAGGCCAGGTGTTAGAACCCTGGAATGGAGGTATAGGTGCCCGTGAGCCACCCTGTGAGTACTGAGAGACAAACCCAGGCCCTCTGCAAGAGCAGTAGGTGCTCCGAACTGGCAAGACATCTCCCTGGCTCACTGTTTTAATTATATTTTAAAATTAGCTTCTTTTTCACATATCACTAGCTTTGGCCACCATCTCCCCTCTTCTGTGCCATCCCCCGACCATCACTGCTTAAGCCTTTATCCCCTTTGAGCCTTCCCTCTGCTTTTATATCTTATATGTTCAACTGTCGCTACTCTCCAGCTCTCCCCCTTCTCCCTCTCAAAGGTACTTCCTGGCTTCCTGACCTCTACAGACAATCCAAAGTTAAATACATAAAGCTAAAAATTTGAAGCATATAGCAGTTACATATAAGAGAGGACATGCAAGGTTTGTCTTTCCAGGCCACTATAATTTCTTCTAGTTCCCTCCATTTTCCTGCAAATTTCATCTTTTTTAAAATATTTATTTATTATGTATACAATATTCTGTCTGTGTGTCTGCCTGCAGGCCACAAGAGGGCACCAGATCTCATTACAGATGGTTTGAGCCACCATGTGGTCGCTGAGAACTGAAATCAGGACCTTTGGAAGAGCAGGCAATGCTCTTAACTGCTGAGCCATCTCTCCAGCCCCAATTTCATCTTTTTTAAAAATTTTATTTAAGCATATGTGTGTATCCCTGTGTGAGTACGCCACATGCAGGTATCCTAGGAGACCAGGGAGGGCGCTGGGTCCCCGGAACTGGAGTTAGACATTTGTGGATGGCCAGCATGGATGCTTGAGATGGAACTTGGTTATCCACAAGCGCTGCGAGCTCTCTTTCTTCCTAGCAAGCTGGTGTCTCAGAGAGTCCTAGGTGCACAGGCTGGTGTGAGCGGGCAGCTGTGGAGAAACCAGCCCTCATGGTGCAGGAAGACTTTCCACTGTGAATGCTCCGGAGGCGACCACATTCCTGTAGGCACCTCCTCGCTCACGTTCTGAAAGAAGCCCCATGTGCGCTGGTTCTCCAGGTTGAACTCTGGTGACTTTGCCTTGTCACTGGGACTTTACAAGGAGGGGGGGGGCGGTGTCTCATCTCCCTGTGAGTTCTCACAATGTTGGGGTATTCAGCAGGATAGGACAGAAACAGCGGTGGATTCAGGGGAGGCAATAGCGTGATCCCCGCTACGGATTATGGAGGCAGAAAGCTGAATCTGAGACCAAGCTTAGGATCACAGCCTGTGCCCCAGTGAGGCACCTGTCCTCAACAAGCCAAGTAAAGCAGACAAAGTAATAGTAATAACGTGGCGATACTGGACGAGGGACAAAGAGACCCAGTGACACCCTACCCCCATCCACCCTTCTACCCACCCTCAAGTCTATCTTCTAGGTCCTGAGGGGAATGTTTAAGAAGAACCCGAGAGAGCTGCATAACAGAGCAGTCCAGCCAAGGGGCCGCTCTGTTCACCACAGTCACAGTGCTGAGTCTGCCCTGTAACTTCACGGATAAGACACAAATCTTCCTGCTGGAGAAAGTTTGTTTTTTGGCTGGAAGTTCTTTCTCTGGCTGCTCTTGGGGCTCCAGGCTTTCCTTCTCCAGCAGATTTCGGGTAAGTGTGTGTAGTCTGATAGACAAAGATCTATTCTTTCTGTCTGTCTGGCAAGTTGCATTTTCCACTCAGTCTTGAAGTCTCACATGCTAGGCTGTGTCTGTATAACAGCCCCCCAGACCTTATCACAACTGATGCCATGATGGGACCATGCAGGCCTGGGAACCCAGCACATGCCTGTAGGGAAATGACGCCTAATCCATCCAAGGTCGTAGTTCAGGGAAAGTCTCTAAATGTGCTAACCTTGCTTTTTGACTTCTATAGTTCTGCTTCTGAAAACCTTTCCTTGCTAACTGAAGTGTGTCAACCCAATCTTGTTTTACATGCCTATCCCAATTCCCTCTCCTCCCGCCCTCCCGCTCCTTCCACCTGGGAAAGGCTTGGGACTGCTCTGGGGTCCCGAACACCCATTGTACTCAGTCACCAGACAGCTAATAAAGACGTTCTTATCGACTTGACCCCTCCTCTGTGGTGGATACCTCCCAACATCTGAAACAGACTATAAGTCGGAGCCAAAGCCTGAATGTAAGTGTCATGTTACCATGCATAAAGACTGTTTCTGCATAATTTCTTGGCTTTTAATTATCTTCGGAAGGGATGACACAGGCAACTCCATCTTGTTGACTTTAGACAGTGTTTCCTCACAGAGCCTATGCTGGTTTCAAACCTGTGATCAGCTTCCCAAGTGCTGGAAAGAGAGGCAAGCACTTTCATGCCCAGCATGACTTCATTTCAGTTCTGACAAGTCCCAACCCCATCTCCGAAGACATCGTATTGATGATTAATTATTGTCTCATTTGTCTGCCTTTGTCCCATGTCCCGAGGGGAAGATTTGTTTGTGCTAATCCAATTTGATCCTACATCAGGGGGTGAGAACTGATAGATATCAGAGAGTTGGTGTCAATAAATCCTTTATGGTCAATTCAAGCGATTAGGAGGTGTAGAGGTGTCTCTCAGGTCAGTCAGTTCTATCTGTCCTGGAGACTATGAGAAGCAGTTATTTATTTATTAATTTTTACCAAAGTGGTACTTGAACCAGAGGAAGGCTCCACCACCCCTCGGAACTTCAGATGGGGGGAAGGCTTTGCTACATCTATGATTCATCTAAGAATCATAACACAGCTGTACCAAGTCAGCGATTCCCACTTACTCAGAATTTCATCGGCTTCCCACATTCCTCCCCTATCTTATCGCCCTCCCGCTTCCGCTGCAGTTTGACTCCTGGCCCAGCGGCTGCTTTCCATAGTTTCTGGAAGCTGACTGAGAAGAGAGAGAAACAAAACACAGAAGCCTCTGGTCTGTGTTCTCTGGGTCATCCTGCTATCAAATGGAAAAAAAAGAAACCTCGACAACCAGTAAGTTCTTTCCCCAGCAACATGCTTCTCCCAGGGTTGTGTGTTAGAGTCCGACCACAAAGTCTGTGTCTAATTCTTTCAGGTCTTCACGAATCTCAGTTGGCAATAAGGGTTTTTCCTTTGGAGAGCAATTTGCTCCATGCCCTTAGGACAACTTGGTTCACTCCCTGGTAAGCTTGCAGACAGTTTCCACAAGGGCTGGCGGAGGTAGGGCTCCTCCGGGCTCCACTTTCTCAGGGGCCTGCCTTTCTGTGAGGAAATGACATCAGAGCCACAGAATCATGTTTAAGGCTTCATAAACCAAAAGTGAAAACGTGAAGACCTTCGGGTCCTCCTGCCATGCTCTGTACCCCAACTCTTCGCCCATTCTCTCCCAAGTATCCAAACTTACTGTTCCTTCTTAGGGAAACCAAAGACACATGTCCTGGACCTAGTCCAAGAGTTGACGGAGCTATAAGGCTTTTGCCTACATCTGGGGTTCCTCAGAGTCTCCTTCAAAGCACTAACATCTGACTGCCTGTCTCTGCTCCTGTCTGTCCAGTTTCACTCCCAACATGTAGAGTTGTGCTCTCCTCTTTACCTTCATTTTTTAGATGTGTTTTTAATGAAGTCCCTCAATGATTTGAGCACAAATTCAAAGCTGAGAAGCACACCCCTAGACCAGTAGTATATTTATTATGTATACAATATTCTGTATGTGTGTCTGCCTGCAGGCCAGAAGAGGGCACCAGACCTCATTACAGATGGTTGTGAGCCACCATGTGGTTGCTGGGAATTGAACTCAGGACCTTTGGTAGAGCAGGCAGTGCTCTTAACCTCTGAGCCATCTCTCCAGCCCCTTTACCTTCATTTTTGTGCATCTCATGGGATCAGTCTGACCAGGTTGAGCTCCCCATAGGGAGGGGTCCCTGGTTTGGGGGCCACTTGCCACATCCTGCATGGCTTGGTCCTGGAAACCTGACTGGGAAGACTCAGAAATGGAGAACTGACGGGTACAGATGAAACGAAACACACATGCAGGCAAGCTGGGAGGGGTGGGCTGTGTTCGCTCTGATGGAGGAACCAACTGTGTAGCCCAGAATCTCACAAATCAATTACGTGCCCCACTAGGAGGAGGAAGTTCACCCTTCCACGTGGGAGGTCTCTTGGGAGCAGTCTCGGGCTGCAGTTGCTTGGTTTTGCTCACGCTGGTCAATCATTAGCAAATGCTCAAACTCAGTCTAGAGAAGGGCTTTGCCATTGCTCTGATCCTCACTGAAGAAAGTTGTGTCATTTCTAGGGGTCTGAGGTTTTGGGGTCCTTGACATGGCTGTGCTCATGACAACAATACATGGTCACTCAAGACTGCATCACGCCTTACACATTCATTCAGGGCTTCCTCCATTCCCCAGACAAATACGTAAGCAAAATTAAACAACATGCCATGTTTTCCCCAATTTAAGCAAAGAAGTAGGTGTCACCCTTTGTCCTCTCCTCAGATAGGATGGATACTATTGGAGGTCGTAAGTGTTATGATTACGCGGGTCCCATGGCGGGTGAGAACCGTGGGCGGGAGACAAATACGTCATACAGGCCGAGCTTGAGTGTGGAGTTTATTGAGAGGAGGGTGGAAAGAGAGAGAGACGGAGGGGGGGAGAGAGAGAGAGAAAGAGAGAGAGGCAAGGGCCTGATTGCCCCTCCAGAAGAGCAGCGGGAAAGAGAGATTGGGAGTGAGCAGAGCTTGTCTCTTAAAGGGAACTTTGCGACTGTGTGCAGTCAGGGACCTGCTTGCCGTGCGCAGAGGGATGATGCACTATGCCAGGTTCCCGGGGTGTGCCTGGAAACTAACATTAAGAATGGATTATTATTGTTCTAATCCATCCCTATGGTTCTAAAAAACTTTTTTTTGGATGAATCGTGTCTCAATTTTTGTTTTATATATTGATGTTCTAACCCCCATTACCTCAGAATGTTTCTGTATTCGGAAATAAGTGCCTCAGAGGTAGTTAAGTTAAAATGAGGTCCTCAGATGGGCATTCATCTAATCTGGGGCCATCTGCTTGGACCCTGGTATATCTAGGGGAAATTCATGTGCAAACACATGGAAAGCATCATCTTCGGTCCTGTAAAAAGGCCTCTGGGGAAGTCAACCCTGCCAATTGCTTGCCTCTAGGAAGGTAAGAAAATAAGTCTCATGCTGGAAACCCACTGCCCACAATAACTCAGAGAGAGGGAGGACTCACTCCTGTGCTCTCGCTGACTCTGTCTGAAATGACCACGTGGTGGGGAAACAGAGGCTCCCAAGTCAGCTGGATCTGCCCACTGGTGGCTCCTCCTCTCCACTCAGCGGTGCCTTGAGAGGGCCTGACAGTGACCGTAAATGATAGCACATGCGGCGTGGCCCACCTTGTTCGGCTCCTGCCTTTCCAGTCTTCCCTGAAGTGAATAGCCCCTAAGTCAAAGGGGCAAAGGCATCTCGGGGAGATAAGGAAGGAGTACACCAGGCGGGGAGCTCTTGTTCTGGGGATCTTGTTTCTGTCATTGCACGCAAGGTGAGGTCCTACTAGCTGAGAACTCAGTACCTCATCCCCAAGGCTCCACTGGTATCCACTGCCTTACTTGACCCCTGCCCAGCTGGTGGCTTTTCTAGGAAAACGACACCTTCTCCATCTTCTCTAGGTACAGAATATCTCCAGCACCATCCCGAGTGTTGCTAGTCTGTGGCCAAAGGTGCCTCCTTCTGATATCGGTTCAGGGCAACGATGAGCTCTGCTTCCTCAAGGTTCTGAAACTCTCAGCTGCAAGAGGAAAGAAGAAACGCCAAGAGGCCATGTTTGCCAGGTTTCCCCTGAAAACCTGAATCTGGATCTTCTTTACCATCTTAGGATGACTCCTTTGCTAAAGGCTCCATTTGGCCCACGGATGTGAATTCCTCTGACCTGGCCAGGCTCTGAGAGTATTCAACCCTCACCCCCACAGACCACCTCCTCAGGGGAAACTCACGGATTCTCAAATAGCTTTGTTCTCATTCCTGGGGTTCCGTTCCTTTCCCTAACTGCCCCACAGCTGGGAACAAACCCACCGCCTGTTTGTCCCAGATTCAGAGAACTTTGGTTTCCCTTTTTTCCCAGGGCCTCCACTTTCAGTCTGTCAGTGCTCAGAGGCTGGATCTGTGCGCTCCCTGGCCAGCCCTAGACCCTTCCTCTTCGGTCTGTTTCCAGTTACTAGCCTACCTTCTTCCATTCTTCCCTCACAATGTGTTTTCCAGATCCACCAGGCATTTTAGAGGTAAGTGAAGAAGCTGAACCCAGCATTTTGGGAGCCGAGACAAGAAAATCTTGAGTTCAAGGCCAGCCTGGGTCGCACAGTCAAACCCTGGTGCTGGATTCAACCCCTGGCACCCATAAATACAGAAACAAGAAAATTCTCGTGGCTTCCCTACATAAAGTCCTAACAAGGTCCAACATGATCTGGTCCAGCCCCTGCTGATCTCTCTGACATCGTGTTGGGTCTTTCTTCCTTTTTTTGATTGAAATCAGAATGTCCCAGCACCTTCAAAGGTCAGCAACTTTTGGTTCCTTATCGTTCTCTCCCACTCTGACGGAGTCCGCCTGTTCCCTCAAACCAGAGAATGTGCTCTGCCTCCTACTCATCTTGTGGCTTCCTCCTCCAGAGTTCCCCTCTCTGAGCAGAATTCACAGATTTTTGTGCCAGGGCACAGACTGTGTGGAAATGAATCCAGGCACTTCCCATTTCCTCCTTGGTAAGACAAGGAAGATGGCGATGGGGTGGCAAGCACTTTTTATTCGCCCGGTCATCAGAACCAAATCGCATGTTCCACAGTCGCCTTTTAACAATTGATGATGGTGTTTCTCTACGGAGTGTTCTTTTTCCCTTCCATTTTGTTTTCACGCAGTGTTCTCCTATGTGCTATTAAAGGCTGCTGTGATCAAACACCTTAGTCATGGGGAGCATTTAATCCATCTCACGTGTCCAGGTAGCAGTCCATCAGTGAGGGAAGTCAGGCAGAAACCTAGAGGCAGGAACTGAAGCAGAGGCCATGGAGGACTGCTGCCTACAGGATGGCTCCTCGTGGCTTGCTCAGCCTGGTTTTTTTTTTTTTTTTTACAGACCCCAGGACCACCAGCCCAGGGATGGCACTGTCCACAGAAAGCTGGCCCCTGACATATCAAACATCAATCAAGAAAATGCACCACAGGTATGACCACAAGCCAATCTAATGGAGAAATTTCTCCTGTTGAGGCTCCCTTTTCCAAAATGACTCTTGCTTGTGTCAAATTCACATAACACTGATCCACACAAGGGCATTAGCTTAGCAAATTCTTGGTGAACAGGGGAAGGAAAGAACTGGAAATCGAACGCAAGACTTTGAACATGCTAAGCACACACTCCACCACTGATCTACACCTCCAACTCTGCATTATTGTCTCTCAGGGGCTGGAGAGATGGCTCGGGGGTTAAGAGCACAGGATGCTCTTCCAAAGGTCCTGCGTTCAATTCCCAGCAACCACATGGTGGCTCACAACCATCTGTAATGAGATCTGGTGCCTTCTTCTGGCCTGCAGGTATAAACGCAGGCAGAGTACCGTGTACATAATACATAAATAAATCTTAAAAAGAAAAGAATATTGTCTCTTAGCTGGGTGGGTGGTGTACTGCTTTAACCCCAGCACTTGGGAGGGAAAGGCAGGAGGATCTCTGTGAGTTTGAGACCAGTCAGGTCTACAGAGTGAGTTCCAGGAGAGCCAAGACTACCCAGAGAAACTGTCTCAAAAAGAAAGAAAGAAAGAAAGAAAGAAAGAAAGAAAGAAAGAAAGAAAGAAAGAAAGAATTGTTCTTTCTGTCTGTGTTCTCTCAGCTGCTGGCATATTAGTATTTTACCAGTAATGTCAATATAAATGACATTTTCAAGACAGGGTTTCTCTGTAGCTTTGGGGCCTGTCCTGGAACTAGCTCTTGTAGACCAGGCTGGCCTTGAACTCAGAGATCCACCAGTCTCTGCCTCCCGAGTGTTGGGATTAAAGGCGTGCGCCACCATTTGGCTAAACTTCACTACTTTATTTCTATGTCTTCCTAAACACTTCAGCATTTTTTTAAATTTAGCTATTTTTTTTTCAGTAACTCAAGTCCTTTCTCACGCTAGACAAGAGCTCCTCCACAGAGCTACACCCTCAGCTCATCATTAGATGTTTGCTTCCATTTTAAAACACAGTGTAGGAGCCTGGAGAGACGGCTCCGTGGCTAAGAGCACTGGCTGCTCTCCCAGGAGTCCTGAGTTCAGTTTCCAGCACCATGGTGGGAGCCATCTACAGCTAGAGTTTCATGGGATCAAATTTTTGTCTGCAGATGTACATGCAGACAAAACACCCATACACATAAAATAAACAAGTCTAAAAAACCCACAATGTAATCATTTTTATATATATTTTTTAAATTTCTATTTTTATTTTCATTTTATGTACATGGGTGCTTTGTATTTTTGTACACCACTCGGGTACCTAGAGTCTGCAGAGGCCAGAAGAGGGCATTGGGTACCCTGGAACTAGAGATGCAAACAGCTATGAGCTGCTATGTGGGTGCTGAGAATCGAATTTAGATCCTCTGGAATAGCAGCAGGTACTTTTAATATTGAGCCATCTCTACAGCCCCCAATGTAATCTTTTTGATGTGTGTGTGCACACACACGCACACACACGTGCACGTACTTCATCCAAGGAGTATTGTAGTACTCACCCGCAGTTCCAGCTATTCCAAAAGCTGAAGTGGGGGGGGTCCCTTGAGTCCAGCAGATAGAGACCAGCCTCAGCAACTTAGTAAGACCCTCTGTCTACCTATTTGTCTGTTTATCACACACATATACAAACACACACACACACTCCCCCACACACTCTCACACACATACAGATACACACAGACACTCACACACATGTATGTGTGTGTCTCTGTGTCTGCGTGTGTGTTTTAGGCTCTAGGCAATATTATTCCCACACCCTTACAGCACACATACCGTTTCTCCTGTTATCAACATCCTGTACCACAGTGGAACACTGGTTACGATTAATCAGCCTCTATTTATATCATTATCAGCCAGAGTTCGTGGTTCAGATCAGGGTCCACTCTTGGTGTTTTTTATACTTTCTATGTTTGAACAAACAGATAATGACATATGGATTCTATCGATACTGTACAGGGCAATTTCAGTTCCCTTAAAAGTAATACACTTGATGGTTGGAGAGACTGACTCAGTGATTAAGAGTACTGAGTGCTCTTCCAGAGGACCTGGGTTTGAAACCCAGCATCCACAGGGAAGCTCACAACCATCTCTAACTTCAGTTCCAAGGAATCTGATACCCTCTTCTGTTTTCTGAGGGCGCCAGGTACACGCATGGTATGATGGTGTACAGACATACAGGCAAAACACCCAAAACCATAAAAATTAATTAATTATTATTATTATTATTTTTAAAATACACTCATTTGGGACTGGAGAGATGGCTCAGAGGTTAAGAGCACTGTCTGCTCTTTCAGAGGTCCTGAGTTCAATTCCCAGCAACCACATGGTGGCTCACAACCATCTGTAAGCTGCCCCTGTCAGGTCGCCCAACTGCAGTGATGCAAACTGAAGGACGGCTTGGTTGCTTTGAAGTTCCAGCAAGGTGAATGGAGCTGCTCTGGCAGTAAACAGGTGAAACCCGGTAAAAACCTGGCAAACCAGGCTTCTGTGTGAACATAGTTTTCAGAGCATGTAGGTTAGAAATTTCAGCAAGTGGTATTGCTGGATTGCTCAGTCACACTATGTTCGGTTTTGTTCAGAAACTGCTGAGCTGGACTGGAGAGACAGCTCAGGGGTTAAGTGTTCCCACTGCTCCCCCAGAGGATTGAAGTTCTGTTCCCAGCACCCACATCAGGTGTAACTGCAGCTCCAGAGGATCCTATGGCTCAGGCCTCTGAGCCTTTGCAAGCTGGCTCCCATGCTCATTCGCTCTCTTCCTCTCTCTCTCTCTCTCTCTCTCTCTCTCTCTCTTCCTCTCTCTCACACACTCACACACACACACACACACACAAACGATTTTTTAAGAAGATAGCTATGGAGAGACACACCTTTAATCCTAGCACTTCTTGGGAGGCAGACAGATCTCTGTGAGTTCGAGGCCAGCCTGATCTACATGGTGAGTTCCAGGAGGCTACATAATGAGACCCTGTCTCAGGAAAAAAAAAAAAAAGACTTCTGACTCACCACAGACACTGTACTGTTCTGTATTCCCACCAGCCATTACATGCGCTCAGTTTGCCCTGTCCTTACCAGCATTGAACGCTGTCGATTCTACTAGTGTGCAGTGGCTTCTTATCAATGCCCTAACGCACAGTTCCCAAAGGACCCGTGACAAGGGAAACCTTTCCTTGTCTATTGCCGTCTGCATATGGAGTCTGTTCAGCTCTTTGTGATGGCTTGTCCTTTTAGTTCAGTTTGAATTTTATCCTTTTTTTCCCCAAGTCAGGGTCTCACAGTGTAACATTGAGTTGCTGGGACTTGATCTGTAGACCAGGCTGACCTCAAACTCACAGAGAACAGCCTGCCTCTGCCTCTGGAGTGCTGGGATTAAAGGTGTGCACCATGATACCTGGATTACGTTTATCTTATTGTGTGTGTGTGAGAGAGAGTGCGTGTGTGGACACAGGCATCCCCAGTGCAAGTGTGAAGGTCAAAGGCCAATCTTCTGGAGCTGGCTCTTTCCTTCCCCTTGACTCCAGAAATCAAGCTCACTTAGTCAAGCTTGCGCAGCAAGCACTTTTGCCCACTGAGTCATCTCACTGTCCCCTACTTATTTATCTTTGAGATAGAGTCTCTAGGACACAGGCTGGCCTTCAACTCCTGACCTTCCTGCTAGGCTCCACCTATTTGCCACCGTACTTTGTTTTCAACCATTTATTAGAAATAGAATCTCACTCTGCATAGCAGGCTCACCTTGCACCCAAGCCTCTCAAGGGATAAAATTATAGGCATGTAACCTTTTGCCCATTTTTATTTTATTTATTGTTGCTGTATACCTATACAATTATAATTGTGCTGTATTGTTTTGAGACAGGATTTGTCTAGGTGATCCAGAGTGCCTTGAGACCATTGTCCTCCCTCAACCTCCCAAGTGCTCGGGTTATAGGCTTGTACCGCCACTCTCAGATTCTTGATAGCCTTACCACGACGAAATCACCCAGAGTTGCCTTTCCTAGAAAAAGCCTTCTGCTTTCGTTCACAGCTCCTTTTTCCCTGAGAAATATAGAATATTCCTCTCTTTAAAGGTTTTCTTGCCTCCAGAATCAAGCAGGGCTCACAGTGACTCACAGAGACTGAAGCAGCCGCCACGGAGCCTGCAAGGGTCTGCACCAGGCCCTGTGCATACATGCTGGGGTCCTTTAGCTTGGAGTTTTTGTTGGACTCCTAACACTGGGTGTGGGTGTGGGGGTGTCTCTGACTCTTTTTGCCCCTTTTCCTCCTACTGGGTTACCTTGTCCAGAGTGATATGAGGATGTATACCTAGTCTTGTTGCATCTTGTGCGGAGTTCAGGTGCTAACACTGGGAGGCTTTATTCTCAAGGGGAATGGGAGAGCAGGGAATCTAACGGAGAGCAGAGGTGCGGGGTGCAGGGAGGGAGGGGAGGGAAGGGAGGGAGAGGAGGCTGCAGTTGGGATGTATTGTATGAAAAAAATATAATAAATTATTTTTTAATGTTTGATTGTACGTATTCATTCATTTAGTGTGTGTATAATGTGTGTTAGGTAGGAGATGCCTACATGCCACAGCACATGTGTGAAAGTCAGACACAACTTATAGGAATCTGTTCTTTCCTTCCACCACGTAGGTCCTGGGCATTGAGCTGGTCATCGGGTGGGTGGCAGGAGCCTTTCCCCACTGACCCATCTCAAGGCCTAGTATTCCTGTCTTAGAGACCCTTTTACTCTTAGGATGCCTTTCTTACTCTTCCTAATAAAGCTATGTTCACTACACTTTTGTAAGAAATTGAAAGGTGTAGGTACATAGATAAACATTTACTGATAATAAACCACAAAAAAAATTATCTTTTAAGAGAGGGTCTTTCCCTGGAAGCCTAGAACTCATTATATAGTTCAGGCTAGTCTCAGACTTTTGGCAATCCCCTTGCCTCAGCCTCCACAGTGCTGGGTTCATGGTTACGGGCCTAAGAAATTCACTTTAGGAGAGACAACTCAGTAGTTATGAGTACTGGCTATTCATCCAGAGGACCTGGATCCAATTCCAAGCACTTCATGGTGACATACAACTGTCTGTAACTCCAGTTCCAAGGAACCCGATGCTTTCTCTGGCCTCTCCAGGAACCAGGCAGGCACATGGTGCACAGACATGCATACAAGCAAAACACCCGTAAATAATAAAGGAGCAACAATGAAGCCGCAGAGTGGGACAATGAGACCAGCCTTTCCTCTCTCTCTCTCTGCCCGGCTTCCGGTGTGGTAGCACTCCTGTCTCAATGCGCCACCTTCTTTACAGATTGTTTTATTTCTGAGTAGATTTATCTTTATCATGTTGATTGATGCTCACTGTCAGCTAGGCAGATGTAGAAGCTCCTCAGAAACACTTGTAAGGATGTTTCCAGGAGGATTAACTGATGGGGAAAGACCCGGCTTGAAAACCGGTGGCACCAACTCTCAGGCTGAGATCCCAAACCGAGTAAAAAGGAGAAAGCCAGCAGGTACCAGCATTCATCTCTCCCTGTTTCCTGACCGTGCGTGGGTGTGACCAACCGCCTCCGTTCCTGCTACTGTGCGGACACCCGCTCCGGCTGCTGTGCGGGCACCTCCGGCTCCTGCTGCTGTGCCGGCACCTCCGGCTCCTGCTGCTGTGGGACACCTCCGGCTCCTGCTGCTGTGCGGGCACCTCCTGTTCCTGCTGCTGTGGGACACCTCCCGCTCCTGCTGCTGTGCGGGCACCTCCCCCTCCTGCTACTGTGCGGGCACCTCCCGCCCGTGCTGCTGTGCCGGCACCTCCCGCTCCTGCTGCTGTGCGGGCACC